GTGTCAGTTAGATTCAAAATCAGGGGAAAATAGGCCCTTTGCAGCTGGGATCACGTGACCAAAGTTTTCCTAAAAATATTATATATTATGGGCTATAAAGAACGCCAGAAACTAAAAGAGCATATCGAAAATACCAAAATGGACAAGTTTGAAACCCCTGGCATTAAAGAGTAAGTTTATACGTCAGTTTGAATTTTCGGCAAATTTAGAGGATATCTATGGAAAGCGTTGTTGGAGAGAAAGGTTTTGCTCTCCATCTTCTTAGTTTTTAAAAATTCAAACCGTCATAAAATCTCATTCTCTAATGCCAGGGGCCTCAAACTTGGCCATTTTGATATTCTCGACATGCTCTCTCCATTTCTGGCATTCTTAAAGTTGCAGCCCCTAATTTTATGAAAAGTAGGTCACGTGATGGCTTAGCTGCAAAGGGCCTATCAGCTTTCCAGTCCAGAGCCTGGACTCAACGGATTGAAAATTGCATGTCATTGGTTCAGAGTTATCAAAGCAATAGCGCTTTGATCCAGAGGCTTTCAATCGAGACTTAACTGAAACCGGAAAGAGGTTCCCATGCAAGGCCTCCGGTTCCCAGAGTAAGGAACTCATACGTTAACGGCTCAGGCCTTTCATAATACTTGTTATTCACCAAGCCTAACAATTTGCTTTTTGCGCTACTAGCTGCTACTATACGTTTTGTAACGTTATCTGAAAAACGTTTTGCCCACTAAGCCTCAAACTCTTACATAATTTAAGGGAGACTAAAGCCTGACCTTCTGACCTGCAGAATATTTAAACTAGCTACGTATATTATGATAACGACATCATGATGGTGATTAAAATCTGCTCAGTCTACAATTCTATTTAATGTCCTCCAAAACTGATTCATTTCCTAGTACTTAATTCTCTTAATCTTTTCAGCGAATTAAGTTCCGCTGACCAGATTACGTCAGGTCCTGAGCGAGTGAGGAGAATTTTAATGATGATAGAAGTTCTCAAAACTGGAATACCGAATTTCAAAATAACATGCAAAGGCAAATCTGATTCGCCAACTTTTATCTGTAATTAGAAGAGAAACGAAAAAGCTGTTTCAACGTACTGTGTTAAGTCCGATGCGTGTTGATTTAGTGATGCACAATGAGTGGAAAGTGTACAAAGAGCACACGTGTTAAGCAGCTGGACCTTTTCACAAGGCACGTGTGTACTGTTATTGAAAATAGCACAATCAAATGTGTTGAATGATCCAAATCAGAAAAAAAATATGTTTCTCCATATTTAGCGACTGTCAATTCTAACTAAGCTCACAAAAATACGCGCGCGACCATTTTATCGCAGCTCCAACGTAAAGCGCTGAATATTGCTACCATAAGCTTACTCCGCCAAAATTTGGCAATATCCGTCCATAATCATTCCTTCAATATATTTCGTAGTTAACAGTTTCGTTCAATAAATTAATAATTACAACATCCTCCTAAGAATAATAAGCAAACAGAAACTCATCCTAGTGAGATCAATTTAGGCAGAAATCGACATTAAGAAATGTTAGGCTTTTGAACACGAGGCGACCTAAGATACGTTCTCGACCAATGAAAACTAGATTTGGTGTCTTTCAGAGTTCTTTTCTGTTCAAAAAAAATCTTTTAGCACCCTCTGCGACCACATTATGTAAACTACATTTTTGTAAAGAATCGGCCGCAAAAACATTGCCCTATCGTGCATAGCTCAGCGTGTCGAATTTGTTGTTCTTAAGACAATAGTCTGCCTTGAAACTCTCAAACAAAGCAAACAGCTCAGTGCAATTTACATAAATCACATTAAGCACAAGTTATTTATAATCCAAGAAATTTTCATTTAACGACTAAGCCTTACAATTTGGTGGGAATTATTAATTTGCATAAGTTACCGTTCTTGTGGAGCCAACTCAGTGATTCTCTTTACTTTAAGATTTCCACTGTTCATCTGAGAAGTGTTTTTTCCGTGTTTTTTCTTCTTTTCACCAGAACAATGGTATTGAACTGGGTTTACGTAAAGTGTTCAATTCCAAGCCTAATCTTGCTTACCTTAAGCAGTATAAATGAAGCCACAGAACAAGGTACGTACTTTTAAACAAGTCAAAAAGAGAAGTTTGCTTCTCCTTGTAACTTTTAATTACTGAGATTCTTGTTCTAATACTTTTTTGTACTTTTTGTCACGCCAAATAGAAGTGTGGCCTTATGGTGCTCGATATTTTTGTGCTAACTGATGTTTTTCTGAGTGTGTATAATTACCGTTGATTGCCACACTACAGGTCGAAACAGTGTGTCAAAGTACTACGAGTGTGAAAGTTATTGTGTGTCAGAACTTTTCATGTTGTGGTTTACGTGCTTATACGGTTAACCACTCAAAATTTGTTACAAATAATACTGTCAGTATTTCACTTAGTGTGTTGTCCGGGATTAGTCAGACAGCTTATAAACTCGCCCTCTACACATGTTAAGGTATTTCCAAATGCTAGTCGGCCAGAAATATTAAGACATTGGCGAAAATCCGAGAAGTGTTCCTACACTTCCTCTTGGTTTTAACTTGAAAGAAATGAAATTGTTAGCAGCCTAAGAACTTAAAGACAGGGGAGGGGGGGACTCCGATTTGAAATAAACTTTAGACATGATTATGCCGGTTAATTAACAAGCAAAATTCATTCATACTTTTAAAACTTTTACTGAAAATGTACCACTTTTAATGATTTCTTGCTGGTCAAATAAATCTGATGTTGCCCGGATGTTATTCTTACCTTTAGTAAGATTTACTGACATCGAACTGTGAAAAGTTCATTTGATTTTCTAAAGCACTAAAATTAGAAAACTATAAAAATATTTATTTGAGTCGAATTTCGCAACTAGTCCATCCTGAATGAACGAGACAAGAATCTGCTTTTAATGCTAGAGCAATAGCTATCTTTTGACTTCATAATGCCATGTTGTTGCTATATGAATTACATGAAAGGCATAGTTAGCCTTTGTTTAGGAAATTGTAAATTTATATTTAATAAGCGTCAATACTTTGTCCTTCAAGATGAAATCCCTCAGGCATGACACCATGAACAGTTGCCACCAGTGATCAGCTTTCTAGTGATTGTTTCAAAATCGGGCTGTGAATTATAATCTCAACTCCATCAGATGAATTAAAACCAGCATGATGCAAAGCAATATTGGAAGCGGTCGAATTTGAGCAAGGTGCCCAGCAAAGAACTGGCGCAGCTGTCCATCACGCCATCGCAATAAATTACGCTGATGGTCGTTAATACTAGGCGGTCGCTCTTAATATCAGACAAGCCGAATATTTCTTCAGCTAGTGCGCAAAGTGCCACTTTTCACAGGAGCCGTTTTCTTCAAAAATGATAGTATTGACGTTTAATCGTGGCGTTTTAGGCGAGTTTTGTCGAGCCATGGTTCGTATGTTGTCGGATGGAGCCGAAACATCCATGTGGAGACCAAACGAACCTGATATGCCGGAAAGTAAGAAAGCCGTTCCAACAAATTGCTAAAACACTAAATTACGCCAGTACATGTCTTCTTGACTGGTCGAAAGTGATCGTATATTTAACATTTAAATTATTCTCTCTCGTTTTCTGTCCGATTTTTTGGTTCTTGTTTCACGCAGCGAGGAAACACTCCAAGAACCGAGGAAACCGAAGGCTCTCGTAGGTTATTTTATGGGATATTATAGTTCACAACTCAATTTTCCATTGTCGACCTCATTAGTCTAATCTGGTCACTTGACAATCTTACAAGGAAACTTTTAAATTATTAGACGGTGAGCTCGAGGTTTATATCGTAACAATATTTTATAGAGTACCAGGTATTTTTATCAAGGACCCACAGGCTAATGATTGACATGATTCACTTTCATTCCAATTTTGACCATGGTCAGTTGAGGGTAATGGGCCGAAAATTCTTCTCCATGCCACTCGGTCACGTGCGACCACTGCTACCTCGCTCCACAACGTAAAACCCAAGGCTATCCTTTCTTTTCTATGGTTCTGCCCCAGGTGTCTCTCGGTCTACCACGTTGTCTCTTTCCCTCCTGAGCCCAGGTCAATGCCGTCTAGGGATGTTAGCTTACATTCATTCTGAGAATGTGGTCAATGAACACAGGCTGATAATTGCCCACGGGGATGGTTCCAAAAACAAATACTAGCTCAAAAACAAAGTTAAAAGTCTTATGTAGTATTCTAAAAACAAAGAATTTTCAAGGGCAACTATCAGCCCCTACAGTTCACGCTAAATTTTCTGTATTTGTCACGTGACGCGACAGTGTTTGTCAGTGCAGCGGGTAATTGCTAGGAAGTTGAGCAATGACCACAACGCCCAGTAAAAAATTCATTTATATTTTACCTTTAAAGTTCACAATGCTCTAGAGCCTGTGGGTCTCAAAAACGAGAGACAGGTTTTAAGGAAAAACTAAACATTAGCAGCGGTTGTTTGCGTTCCTCTAAGAACTTGATTATTTCACGTTGCTGTTTAAGAGAGCCGGGACGGATAATCAAAAATATAATTAGCTCTTATTAACCGAGCAGGATGTCTGTATGGGAGAGTCTTGACCGAGGTCGTGAAAACAGACCGAACGCAGTAAGGTCTGTACGCACCACCGAGGTCAAGATTTTCCCATAGAGACCGACTAAGCTCGGTTAATAAGATGTTTATGATATGGCAACTGAACAAGAAAAAATGCATTCGTTCTTGTAACTGGTTTGTGACTAGCGGGCATTTTGCTTGCGAACGGTGATGAATCTGCCAAAGTTTGCTCTTCCTCTTTCCTTTTTTTCTCATCAGGCTTTTTGGCACTTCCATAAACTATGGAAGAAAAGAAAATAGAAAATAGTTGATATATTTGTATTTTAGTTTGCAACCTTTTCAAAGCAAAATGTAACCGATGATGCCGGTCTAGATGGGAAAACCGAGACCGGGGTCAATATCGATTTCAGCAAATCAAATTCGTGAATTCGGTGGTTCCCAGTCCTTGTGACACAGAACTGTACAGGAAAGCCGTTGCATATTCGAGGGTATTACATCGAACCTTTCCATCGCGTTCTGCGTATAAGCTACTTTGATTAAGTTAGGCAATATATTTTCTATGGCATGGTATAAAATAGTTTTGCAACGCTATCAAGTTGTATACCATGGAATATCCCACTTGTCACTTGTACTTTCTTGGTATGCACACTCGCAAAAAAGCGGGAAATACAATTGACTGGCAGGATATTCCATGCTATACCACGACGAAAAAGCGTTACTAGTATGCAGAAAGTTTTGTAGAGTACGTGTTCCGCCACTGTTCTGCTTTAGTGACGTTTTCATTGTCGTTGCCCTCGTGTTGACGTCATAGTTCACCACTTAATTCCCTTTGTCTTCATTTGCCAAACTCCCGCAGATCATTTATGAAGCTGAAGGTGAAAAAGGAGCGAGGGTTTTATAAAGGATTTCGCAATCAGAAGTTTTCCATCTTTTCAAAGAACGAAATGCATGTGTAAAACATTATTCCGTTTTTCTTGTCAATGAAATGAAACAGTCGAGTAGACTAAGTTAGTCCAGCACTCCCAGTACTATGTCTTTTTCGGTCAGCTTCTTGTCTTCTTTGCTGTTTCTTGTTGTTACTTATTTTACTTTCTCCTTTTCACTTCTTTCAGATTGTAAATTCACTCTATTACAGGACAGCGGAACATTTCAGACTCCGAATTTTCCGGTAAAATACCCCAACAATATTGAATGCGTTTGGAACATTCAAGTTCAGCCGGGTCGTTTTATTTTACTCTCCTTCGATGTTGTTGAGTTAGAAAGCTATAGAGGGGAGTGCATTGATCTTGTAGAGGTAAAGGATGGAAGCAGGTCTACAGATCAACTTCTAGGTAAGAAAAGAACTACACTTCATCCGGAAGTGCAAGCGTCCTTCAGTCTTTTCTCCACGAAAACTGGTCACGTGAAATACATATTGTTCTTTTTTATTTCCAGGTAGTTTCTGTGACATCAGTCTTGTACCTAAGGTTATCACATCAAGCTCAAATACCCTAAGAATTTGGTTTTATTCTGACAAATCTGACGCATACCAGGGATTTAATGGCTCTTACATCAGCCAATGGGAAAAAGGTGAACTAGTTGTGTATATGTTTTACTTTAGTGATGGAATGTTTTATTTTTTTTCTTCCCCAGAACTAACCTGTACAAAAATTATTTTCCTTTAAACAGGGTGTGGCGGTGCACTAACAAAACATTCCCAAAGCATTTCATCGCCTCGCTACCCAGATTATCCATATCCAAACTCGATACAATGTGACTGGGTTATCACAATGCCGCGTGGCAAGTTTATTCGACTCGAGTTCTCTGACTTTGAAGTGGAATTCAACTGTGACGGCAAATGCTGGTGTACTGACCAATTGGAGATATGGGAAGGACCAGAATTTAATGATACAAAGCTAGGAAGGTGAAAATGAAATGTTCTGTTTTGATGGCATCTGTCTTTTCAATTATTATCTATTTAGAAACCGTATATGATAAGTATATATTCGATGGTGTGAGAGATTTTATCGTCTAATTAGATTGGCGAAATGATTTTCTCCCACGTGTGGAGATCATTCTATCCGATCATAATTCAGCTGTCAAATCATATCAGTATTTCCAGTGCGGTTACACTGTCGTCGCGTCCTTTTCAGTTGGATTGCTTTCCCCGGTTTTGCACTTGGTTTTAAATTTTTAGCCTCCTCGACCACAGTACTGAATATTAAAAGTTGGAGCAGGTTCATCGCCCTTTAGATAAACTCAAGGAACAGCAAAAAAAAAAAAGCGCTCGAGAAAATCCCGGAAGGGACGAATTAAACGGGAGGACGAATTAAACAGGTAATAGTCCTACTGTTAAGAGCCAAAAATAACCAGAATTGTTCATTTTGTAATAAAAGCATGAAACTTCCCAGGATGACTAACCTCTATAAGGTAAACATTTTCTGATATGGAGCCATCCCAAATTTCCACCCAGAAGCACGCTACGTGCATGTCAAAAAATGACATATTAGGCCCCTACATGGGAGCGAGGCTGAGTTAAAATGCTTATTTCTAAGCCTTTTCCGGAGTACTTTGCCTAGATTTCTTCCTTTTTAATATAACAGCAACTTATAAAGCATCTGGAAGTCGAAAAATTTTTCACGTGATTAGTCACGTGACCATCATTTTCAATAAACAATAAAATAATACCGAATATTGCATTAATACGATTAATTTTTTTCTCCTCTTCTTTCTCGTTTTTTCTCGCAAATAAAAAGAAGTTATTATTTTGAACATTACAATATAGAGTAATAAGATATTCAAACTTAGAAACCTGTGTTTCGGCATGCTCAATGTCATATTGGGGCTTTGCATCAAATCGAGGCCGAGACAAAGGATGGATCTATGTTGGCTATTGAGGTGANAGTCTATCAATAGTTACAAATGATTTATTATTATTATTACTTTTATTACTATTATTATTACCATGATAAACAGAGAAAAATAGGAAGTTAGAAAAAAAAGTGAACAAAATAAAAAGAAAAAGTGGGAAAAGAATGTGATTTAATAGATAATATATTTTTTGTTTGTTTGCTTGATTGTTGGTTGGTTGTTTTTTTTTTTTACTACTGCCACTGGCATTTTAATTTAGAATGATCCTGTAAACCTCAATGAAGGAATCTTCATCTTCGAGAACACTTAGTAGTTTGTTTTTAATTCTGAGTTTGAATGATTTCTTTGGTAGTTCTAAAAATGGTAATGATTTCATCAGTGCGTATTGCTTTGCTGGTAATTGAACATAATGGTCACATGACTATCACATGACATAATTTAAGACTCAAAGGCAATGATTAATTTGTTGTTGTATTAAAAGAGCAAGACACTAGGCATAGTAGTCCCAGAAGGCAAAAAAAATTGGTATTTTGCATCAGCCTCGTTTCCATGTGAGGGCCTTGTATGCCATATTTTTGACATGCGCATTCCATGGTTCTGGAAGAAAAATTTGGCATGGCTCCATATCAGGAAATATTTGTCTTATAGAGGTTAGTAACCCTGCCAAGTTTGATGCTTCTATCAAAAAACGAACAATTTTGTCCCTTAACAGCTGGACTATAAGCACTGTTAGGACGAAAAACTACTACAAAGGTCTTTTTTCGTTTCTCATTGAGCATTATAGTTGCCGAATTATGTTCATGTGTTATATCTTTGAAATAATGAGTATGCAAAGCATAAAAAGAACATAGAAAGCGACTAAAACTTTTCAGATATCATGTATCGCAAATGATCCCGGGACCGGAACTGATTCCACCGCAAACAGTTAGGAATGGCGTGGACTCCATGAAAAGTCTATGGATGGATACATATTTTCTTAATTATCCTAGGTGAAGAAAAGACAAGTACCCCAGGTATAAAACCAGCAATAAAAAAAGTTTCTCACACTTCACAAAATACTAAGTTGACATGTGTCGACTGCATAAATTTTTCGTTTAGGAAACGCACTGCAAAAAGAAACACGAATCTTCGAAGATGATTCTGTCATCTAATTAACCGCTTAGAACTTTTCCCTGTACACTACATCTACTTGCGTCCTAGATAGCCACGGGCTCCCACGAAAGTCTCTAAGATTCTTTCGTGCTAGGCACCGTAGTAAAAATGTAGTCAATCCACTTGGGAATTCTCAGTTGTCTCCAAATTTGAGGATATGGTGAACATCCTGCGTTATCATACATCTCAGGCCCTGACTCAATAAAGGCATTCAGGGAAGGATCCAGCTAAACTACAAACTTCAAACACAGGATTTCGTAACGTTAGATATCATTTTTAAAGATAATTTGGTTTTATCAGCTGGGTTGATAATGTAAATTGGCCACCGTAAGGAGCTTCGAAAGCTGACGTTTCGAGCGTTAGCTCTTCGGATTCGCTCCGAAGAAGGGCTAACGCTCGAAACGTCAGCTTTCGAATCTCTCTACGGTGGCCAATTCACATTATCAATCCAGTTGATAAAACCAAATTATCTTGTTATACTCCCCACCGACACAGCACCACAGTTTCTTTAGAAACTTACCCCCTCCTATCATTTTTAAAGTTGTGAAATTTGCATGCAAATCGTTCGTACTCAGCTGCACATTTTCTTGCGTTTCATAGAGTAAATGTTGTATCAAAACATTGTATTATTACTGTGAAACTCAGAAAACCGTGAATACGAGAAATATTTAAGGATTATTATTGTGCAGCTAGGCAAAAGCCAATCAAGCGTGAGAAAACTAAACAGCAAACACCAGCGGTAATAGGCCACGTTCGATATATCAACGTTCTAACATGGCTCCGAGGCTTTCAGGACAAACTTCTATGTTTGCTGGTGTTCTCTTTGTATCCAAGTCTCTTTTGAGAATTGAAAGACAAAGGAAACTTTAAAAAATTGCAATTTTGACCCGAAAGCCTCGGATCGATGTTAGAATATTGATATATCGAACGTGGCCTATTGCTTGTGGTTTTGAGGTTTTCTCGCCTGTCCTGAACTTTATAGTGATTGGTTCAGTACCAAATTAACCATTTGGAATCAAATCCAAATGTTCACGGTTTTCTGAGTTTCACAGTCTTAAAAAAAAAGCGATTGCATAAATTTAAAATCCACTGTCCAAATTCCTGAGTCCTCACATTTCCAAATTTTATGGCAAGGCGACCATTTCCGGTTCGGGATCATTTATGGTACAATCTGGGGATCATTTCCGGTCCCGTGATCATTTGCGGTACGGAGATCATTTGAGGGCCGGGATCATTTGCGGGGCCGTACATGTCTGTCATCGCTCTCTCAAGAATCAAACATGAAAGTTCTAGGATAGTATGAAGTAAAGTTACTTTGCATGGTATTCAATCACGCATCCATTGGTTTGCATCAGAAATCTCACTGGTGGACTGGGTTCATGCGTTTGATTTCTAACACCTCACCAGCTTTCCAGGAAGTAATCCATATACAGCTTCTTTTTGTCCCACTATAGATACTACCCTCGTAGAGCTTTCTCAGAGTAACCATCTTTCCGTAAGCCTTTCAGTCGTTTCCGCCCTCAGATTATATTTTAAGGCCATCTTTCCCTCATTTCTGCACATTTTATGTTCTGTCTGCATTCTGTATACAGCCCGTTGAATACTAGGATGGTGGTTCTAATGGAGTAGATTAGTACTATACATGTACAGGCAACCTTACTTAAAATACTTTTACCTTCTCAATGATTCCATTACAGAAATCATAAATCCATGTTCGTAGTACAGTGAGCGGAAACAATTTTACCGCAAAAAAAAAGTAGCTGTAATAACGAGGCGTATTTCCTGGTTGGTTGCAAAGGCGGGATTTCTCTGTTGCTAACATGCGTTTTTCCTTCTGTGTTTGATATACCTGTTTACCGTCTGATTGACGGCACATTTGAGTTCCACGTCTAACTAAACCATAATTTAATTAATGAAGATATATTTCATTCTTTCAGTTTCTGCGTGTCTGTCCAGGAGCTAATAGTATCAAAAACCAATCGGATAAGACTTCGTTTCACAACAAATAAAGAAGGACGTTTCAAAGGCTTTTTTCTGTCATACACAAGCTCCATAACACCCGGTGAGTCATTCAGTGTTAAAAGTGGGATTTAAAAAAGAACTGGCGGTTTTTGGCGAGCAATCAACTTACCGCGAAGATTATCCACTAAAGTCACGACAAATAAAAAATCCTGCTCAAATGACAATTGCTGCGTTCTCTCTACGTTAAGTGAAGATACGTGCAGTTAACTGACGACTAACCTAAACTTTGACTCACTTGAGATGAAAATGCTGAAATTATGTTAGTGAGTCTTTTGCCGGTATCTATAGGCGGCCTACCGTCGTGAATGTATGTGTTTATTATATGGCTGGCTCCGCGAGCAGGCAAGGTGAACCGAATCCTGCGCTGTGATTGGCTAACCGAGTGGGCAACAAGGCGCTATCTTGCCCGCTTGGGACTACCCGCTGTGTTCCGCAAGAAAATGTTATTTTTCTACATAAAAAATTATTTATTGACCGAGCGTCGTTATGGACCTCGACTCCGTCTCTGTCTACAGACACTTGGCCAATATCCGGGGCCAATATCCAGCAGTCTTGACCTCACGCCTGGTCAATAACACATATAAATGGTGCTACTGAGGTAAAGGTAAAGTGGAGCTGACCAGCTGCTGAAAACTGGGATGACGACCCATCTTAACCTGACATGAGTAGTTCTATTTCAAGCTGGCATTACCGTTAAATTTACAAAGGGACAATAATGATGTGATTTGGGCAACTTTCCCGTGGCCCCGATAAAACTAAAAATACATTTGCCTTACAAAGTGTTACTTTTTTTCAGGTTGTGGTGGAGATTTAACAGGAGAGAGTGGAAATATCACATCACCAAATTATCCTATGTCTTTTCCCGCGTTTTCACACTGCGTTTGGCGCATTAAAGTGCCCACTGACCGGTACATATCGCTCCGGTTTCTGGTTTTCACAGGAATCAATGGCGCAAATTCAGAATGTACGCTCGACTCCATTGAAGTGAGAGATGGATATTCAAGAAAAGACCCGCTCATAGGTAACATCAGTGAGACCAAGTTTGTGCTTTCCTCTCATATTGGTCAATTGTGTAATTCTCGCAGGTAAAATACTGTGAGCTATATCGCAGGATTAATTGATTTTTCCGTATACAAACGAGACATTTGCGTTATCTTTTATTATTACCATTATCATTATCATTATCACCATCATCGTCGCCATCACATCGCCATCACCATCACCATCACTATCACTATTACTGTTACCATTACTATTAATAATATCATTTGCTTACATCAATACGAAGCTCTGGAACAGTCTGCCTTCAAATGTGAAACAGGCCATCAATGTTGCCCATTTTAAGAGTAAACCAAGAACATTAGACCTTTATTTTTTTGCTCATTTCACTCCACCGTTATTTTGGTAGGATTTTAAATTTCACTGTTTATATTTAATTCTTAGTGTTGACGTTTAGTTAATAGTTAATTGGTGTGTATCAGATGATAGAAGATTTTTAATGTTTTAGATTTTATGACCTTGTAAATCACGTAAATCTTCGTATTTTTACAAGCTCGCTCAAAATACGTACATTTATTATCCAACTGCAGCGAATACCGTCCAAATAACAGTAAAAAAATATACAGCGATATTGCACAGTTACTTGTAAAGTAGAAAACCTCTTTGCCGGACAGGTCGACGCGCACACTCTCCCTCTTTTCATTGATAAAGTTATTGACTACAGCAGTTGGAAAATAAATCTCTTAATAGATGTTTCGGTGTGTAGCATCGTTTTATATTTTTACTCGTTGTTTGTATTTTGACGAGCCCGGAGGGCTCGTCAAAATACGGCACAACTCGTAAAAATATACAGCAATACTACACAGTCACTAAAACATCTAATAAGATATATGTATTCCCTAAAAGGAATACACGTACGTATTTTGAACGAACTTGTACAGCTCTTAGACGTGACGTGCCTAAACAAAGTATTGTATTGTTGTATTTTATCATAATCTTTATTTAAACACAGTATAAAAATTCGTCAGCTTAAGG